AGGCCTTTTTTTTGAGCGACAGTTTTTCACCCAGATGACAGTAGAGAGAAGAGAAGAGAAGGTTGGCAAACCTCTCTTGACCGGCTCCGCTCTCGGCGGCGATAAATTCCGTGACATTTTTGCGACACGCAGACAATTCCGCCAGAAACAGATGTCCTGATAAATAAAGCACATTTTCCATCATTCACCTTGCCAAAATTCCCATTTCGAAGGTCCTAAATCGCCAACGAAGTGCGCAATACACGGCTGAGGTTAGGCGAGTCGAGAGCAGACCCGCAACGGACTCCAACCGTCAAGTCGACAATTTCAAACCGACACGCGCTGGCAGGGTCAAATTGTTCAACCGTCAAAGGACAATTGGAGCATTTAGCCTACTGGGCACAGTAACTGATTTTTCACTTCTCACATTGCACTCCGGGGTCGCGGAAGTCAAGTATCGCGTGTGATAGTGACATGTAATATCAAAACATGTGGCAAAGTTTGAAGAAATTCTATGAGAGCGTTTTCGAAATATTTTTAAATGCAGTTTTTAGAATCATCAAAGCAGTGAAATAGCATGATAGCCGCACAATTCGCTAATATTTTTCAGAAAATGATAAGCTTTGGAATCGCAGCTTCATCTCATAGTGGTTTGATTCCATTGAAAACTGCATACAAAAAAAGAGGGGAATTGTTCTGGGCGATCGCGAGTAAGAAGAATTTTATTAACTTGCATTCAGCTGCTTTTGATACAGTTTTTGGATGTAATTTGTTCCATGCCTAAAAATTTCGCATTTTTCCAAAAACCGCTCGATACATTTTTTCATAAATTCGACAATCCCGAGATCAATTGTCAAGAAATATTCCCTGCAAGTTTCAAGAACATTGAAAACAGGGAAGGCTTTTAAATAGGGCCTCAAACATAACCAATTTTCCCCCCAGATTTTGTGTTTGCAAGTGAGCGTCCTCATTATTGACTGGCATTGTTTTCAAGTTTCATATGCACGTGCACAACTAGCAAAAGATATAAATTTGCATCAAAAAGAGCCCTCGATTACTTTCCGAAGAAATATCCGGAATATGCTAAAAATTGGCTTGTCGTCACAGATAGCAGTGAGAGCCGAAACGGTCAACGTCACGGCTCATCATGTAGGATGCAATACTTAATTATCTTACTTGGGTTATAACATCACAGAAACTCTCACAAAGAGTTGCTCTGATGTTATAATATATCACTAATCTCTTTACCCGGTTCCTTTTTGATGCATATTCTTCTTTTTGCTAAATGTGCACGTGTATATGACAATTGACCTCGAGATTGTCGACTTTATAAAAAATTTATCGAGCGGTTTTTGGAAAAATGCGAAATTTTTAGGCATGGACCAAATTACCTCCAAAAACTGTATCAAAAGCATCTGAATGCAAGTTAATAAAATCCTTCTTACTCGCGATCGCCCAGAGCAATTCCCCACTTTTTTTGTGTGCAGTTTTCAATGGAATCAAACCACTATGAGATGAAGCCGCGTTCCCAAAGCTTATCATTTTCTTAAAATATTGGCGAATTGTGCGACTAGCATGTTATTTCACTGTTTTTATGATTCTTAAAACTACATTTCAAAATATTTCGAAAACGCTCCCATAGAATTTCTTCAAACTTTGCCATAATGGAGGCAATTATGGCAGGTACATACTCCCTTAAGCGATTTCTTCAAAAAACTCCTGGTACAGAGAAACACAACGATAAATGAAAAACGTAATGGCGTCATTACGTTGCCATGGCGACTCTGATTGCAATAAAATCCAGATCATAAGAAATTTTCGTCTTTATATAATACAGTTGTGGTAACCTTTTTTCCATATCTTTACTCATGCCGACCTAGTTAATGCTCAAACTTGGGAGGAATCCCCCTCAAAAAATCCAGTCGAGCCACCTTAATTACCTAAGTAGGATAATGTTGTCCAGGGCTCTCATAGTGAGCTTGGGCTACCTGTGTTCTGAGCAGAAATTTTCCAAAAACTGACGTTGGGTGCCCCCGTCCATATTCAGATATACAGGGAACAAACGTCAAAGTTAGTCTTCGAGCGATCAGTCCAACAAGAAAAATCCTGCCCACTTTTGATTTTGTAGATTCGATAATGCTTTGCTTCGTTTCATTTATTTGAATGCGCATTTTAATTCAACGATAGCAAAATGTAAATAAGATATATCTTAATTCTGGGAGGGACGCTGGAGCTAGTTTGATTTTTAACCGTGACAGTCTCTATCCTTAACTTTGATATCTGGTATTCTATAAACTCGTCTACTGTTGCAGTTGTACGTCAGCAGAGGTACAGGCTTAACAAGCTTATCTTCAAATCACCGGGCAATTGAACAGTATCGTAGCTGGCTCCTTGTGAAATCGGCGTGAAAAGCCTGCACATTGACTTTCAAAATGTCGGAAGCTTTAGCAGTGAATGGTACTTCTAACACAACGTAAGTAAAACAGGTTCTTTTTATCGAAACGAGTTGTGTAAACTAGAAATCTTTATTCATTTCTACTGAAATTCCCTTCTGCTAGCTTGAATTTCATCCGACTGCTTCGAGTCGTTTTCTCCTCAGTCACGTTACTGAGGAAGTAATAACGACTCGAAGTAATCGGATGAAATTCAGGCTACCGTTCCGCTTGCTTCAATTAAAACAAACGCGTGTGTGCTCACCTACAATCGGCGACAAAATTGTTGAGACATTGTACTTAAATAGGGTGACTTCGGAGAACAAAAGAATCCGCACCCCTCCCCTGTCCCCTCCATTCAAAGTTGGGGTTTTTGTTGTTTTCTATAGGTAGCTAGAACAAGGGCCCAACATTGCACGGAGGGGATGGGGGAGGAAAGCTATATTTCCTCCTTTTGAAGTTTATAAAACGTAAAAAAGCCTACTTTTGGGGGAAGTGTCTCAACTCATTTTGTCGCCGATTTTAGCTTCATTTAAAGCCAGTAGCAGAATTTTGGATACAATAGTTGCGGTTACACATACCTTCTGCCCGAGGTTTCCCAGTGGGTGATTGGCTTGGGTTGGGATCGGCTTGGGTTTCCGGTTAGGTGATATTTTCCGGTTACACTGCAAATAATTACCCAAGGTCAACTATTGACCTGGTAGTGTTTGGCGGGAAATTTAATGCATCATGGACATCGCAAACCGCGAAACGTATGGTCTCCTTGCAGTCGTTCTTCTGCTTCTTATACGGCAACATCCGGTTGATTTAGCGATCCAAAACTTCATTCTAAGACGAATGCGTAGAAGGCGTCTGCGAGTACGATTTCTACAATCACTCCAGATGCTGTATTTGTTCTACAGAAACCGTCGCCTGCAAGTTGCTCGCAGGCCAAGACGTGCTTGGATATTTCCTCGTCCCCAGAACTGGTTCCAGGAACTTTTAAACAACAGAGCTCTCGATCACTGGTGGAACGAAAATTTTCGAGTGTCTCGGGCTACTTTTGAGTATATCTGTAGGCTAGTAGGGCAGCACTAGTGCGACAAAACACTAGAATGCGTGACGCTGTTCCGGTTGAAAAGCGAGTGGCTGTGAGCTTGTGGCGCTTGGCGACTGTGCTATCGCTCATGTGGACTGATGATCGGACCAGCAAAACCTACCGTGGTTAAGTGCTGTCATGAGTTTGTAGAAGCAATTTGCCGACTGCAGGATGACTTCATAAAGTTTCCTTCTACAAGGGCGGAAATAAGCAAAATTGAAGGTTTCTCTGAGAAGAGCAAGGTTCCGAATGTTGTTGCTGCGATTGACGGAAGTCACATTCCTATAAAGGCACCAAAAGAGAATCACGAGGACTACTTTAACCGGAAACATTTTTACAGTTATTTACTGGAAGGAATTGTTGACTCTTCGGGACTCTTTTTATCTGTTGCCACTGGGTTTCCCGGGAGTCTGCATGATTCTCGAATGCTGCGACTAAGCGATGTGTATTGGGCCGCTGAAAACGAGGATATTCTCATGGAACCTACCCTGGATTTGGGAGGAACTGTAATTCGCCCCCTTGTGGTGGGAGACTCAGCGTACCCATTGAAGACCTGGCTTCTACCAGTGATCAAAGATAATGGCGCACTAAACCGATATCTGAAAAAGTTTAATAAAGAACTCTCTAAAGCACGAATAGTATCTGAGCATGCGTTTGGCTTGTTAAAGGGTAGATGGGGAGCACTACTGAAGCGCTTGGACGAGGATCATTGGAGAACCCCAAACACGATCATAGCATGCTGTGTACTTCACAACATTGCATTATTCGAGGGGAAGAATTCGATGGAGATATTGACGATGATGACGATGATGACGATGATGATGACAATGGAGTTCCCAGCCAGGCTGCAAGCAGTGTTCGACGGGCTGTAATTGAATTTGTAGCAAATCAATAATTTGGTTTCTTTTTCTGTAATGCCTTCGGTTCCGTAAATTAGGTATGTACACTAGTGTAAAGGCCTTCCACAGTAAACACTTCATAAACAGCCGCCGGAAAAAAACTGTTTGGAGAGGAGCCGTTTTTTAGACTTTGTTTCTGTTGTTTGTCTTTTAGAATTTCCACTCGAAGAATAAACACGCTTTGGAGATTTTAAATACTTCCCTTGATTACGCTTAACTCCCCATTTAATCACAACGTTTGACTATAAAACTCTATTTTTATTAAAATTTGTATTTCTGAATTTACAGGTTTAATAATAATCATACAAGCTTTCAAGTTTTTCGTGAATGTTCTGTACTATAACTGACGCAAAACTGTAACATGGCTATACCTAATGGCAGCATTTAAAAAATGATGTGAGTCAATAATATCACATGAAATTTCCTTGTAAAACTTAAATCTATCAATAAAAAAACGTGAACATTCCTCTGTCGTATTGTGTATAAAATGGTTTAAAATTCACGCTCGGTGCCTTTGTTTATACCTATATCCTGCATTTTATCTATAAAACTGAAAACTATAACTTGAGCAATTGCTTTTGTAGTTGTGTATACCGTTAAGAAAACATTTCTTTATTTTTTCGAAGAGAAAATCTCGCCCAGTTTCCCCAGGGCAGAAAGAGTAAATTCCAGGTGTCTATGTTGAGAGTCGCTTTGGGATTTTAACAAAGCCTCGAACATCCGTTCGTCTTTCTCGTCTGCTTTCTCGATGGCTGCTTGTTGTGCCTCCATGAGATTGAGAATGGTACTCTCTGCCTCCTTTCCTTCAAGGCTTGCTCTCTTCTTCTTCTTTTTTTTTGGTTGACTGGGTGAATCATCTTTCTCATTTGGCTTTTCCCCAACAGCGGCCGTTGTTGGATCAGCAATAGTGACAGTAGCTGACGCGTCACTGCTCCCACTATCGGAACTTGTCGGGGAATCCTTTGGCCTCACTTGCATTACTCGCGTTTCCTTGACAAATTTCGGGTTTCCTTTGTCGGACCCTGACATGAACTCATCGATCTCATCGTAAAACTGAAAGGTCCTACGATCCCTTTCCGTTTTGTTGTTGTTATCTTTGACAGCTTTGTATTTGTCGAACAAAGACCTCCATTTCTCTTTGACTTGGGCTAATGTTTTCTCAGTTTCTATTCCAGCGTCGCTGCATAAACTCAGAAAATCTTCCATAATTGAATCCCACACGCTTTTCTTCCCATGGCTACTCTTTGTAGACCTTAGGCGATCGTAGTTGTCCCGGTAAGCTGCAATCAAGCTACGATTACCTTGGAAAACTGCCCGTCTACCCCTCCCCTAAGCCAATATTAACACTTACTTCTCACTTTGGGCAAAATGTTGGCTTAGGGGAGGGGGAGGTGGGCAGTTTCCCCAGAAACGTATAATGATCCATGGGGCGATTTCGTATACTTGGAACTCTAGACAACCGAATGTTTCCAAATACGGGAGAAGTGTCGATCGTTTTCTCTTTGCTTCAGAAGCGTGTTTGGTTGACTTGGAGCCGTACTAAAACTATTTACATCTGGTCGGTTGTCTGAGGCGAACTTTGGTCGTCTCGAAAGTTTAGGTGGAACTTTCGTCTCATCCAAAACGCCTTTATCCACCCAGATGAGTCCAGTCGAAAGATGGAGGACATGGAGTAGCCTTACTTTCGTGAGGAAATTCTAGGGGACGCTTGATGGTTATAAAAAAATAAGCCAGTGATTTAAGCCAATCAGAAACGGAGTATTATTTTGATGGAATAATTATGCATTTCATGGGACTTTAAAATCACGTGAGAGTGCAGAAGTGTGTAAGTTAATTTAAATTTATACTTTCAGTAATAAATGGCTTAAGGTCTCGGTAAAGGAAAACGAGGTGCCCACAGAAAAAAATCCTAGTCACGCGAGTATTTTCGCTACAAAGGCAAGATATATATCAAATTAAAGCTAAAACACTAAAATACCTTATAAAAGATTTTATTTCATCGAATTTCAAAAGCGCTTAAGTTTTTTGCTGTCGAATTCAGAAGTATCGAGTTTACTGCTGAAGATCCAGCCCTTTCGCGTTGTTGAATATTCACTTCCTTTTTATTGCATCTGATTGACAGATAAAAGACCTAAAAAAGATCTGAGGAAATTTGCATATGTCTCATATTAACGGAATTATTGCATTTCAAACTAAAAAGTCGAATCTCGAGCGCGATTTACACAAAGAAACTGACATAAAATGAGTTACAAAGGGAAATTGGAAAATTCCTCACGCCCTTTTTTAGGTCTTTTATCTGTCAATCACATGCAATAAAAAGGAAGTGAATATTTAACAACGCGAAAGGGCTTGAGCTTCAGCAGTAAACTCGATACCTATGAGTTCGACAGCAAAAAACTTAAGCGTCTTTTAAAATTCGATGAAATAAAATCTTTTAAAAGGTAATTTAGTCTTTTAGCTTTAATTTAATATATAACTTGCCTTTGTAGCGAAAATACTCGCGCGACTAGAATTTTTTTCTGTGGGCACCTCGTTTTCCTTTACCGAGACCTTAAATTGCTCGTTGCTCGTTTTATTAAAACAAAACAGATTCAAACACTGAAAATAGGTACCTTATCCCTCTCCAGGTGCAAACCAGCCATTGATCCAGCGACTTTCGAACTGGGATGTCTCGGTACAGCTGTGAGTAATGGCTCGATATTTTTCCACTGCTTTTGGTTTTGTTTAAAGTTAGCAATAACAGGTTAATTTTATTGTTTACCACCACATGTATCAGGCCTAAGTATGTTTTTAGTATTATCTGAAGACTCGCTTTGTTGCCCTCAACAGCTTGCCATTATTGTGGTTCTGTCATGTCTCAAACGGAGAAACAAATTAAAACTTGAATACTGCCATGGTTATCCTGGGCTCGTGATGTAAGTATTGCCTTTTTTACAGTTGTATTCTTTGCACAGTTATTAGATGACGTTGTAAAATGTTATCTTTTTTCTTTTTTTGTTTTCAGACCAGTGAACTTCTTACACAGTTTTAGCTACAGCAACAGGTTTACTATTGCTGTCACCTTTGGAGCCACGGCCAGTTCATGCCTAGGACTTTTCTTTTCTTTTGCCATTGGCAGATTCCCGTTCTCTGGTGTTTCTGTTTGGTTGGAGGGTGAGGAAATGCTATCATTTATTCAAAATATTTCCTACTTTAAAACATGCTTATCTCGATCTATGTATAGTTCCCGTCCTCATAATATTTGCCTTTTTCTCGGCAGTTCAGGTACCATTAGCTTTTAGGCGGTAGTTCGGATTTTTCGTCTTCGCAGAACTTGTCAAGAGTCATGTAGCAGCTGCTCGGAAGAGAAGTCACCGATGGTGCGTTTCCCTGACCCCAAACAATACTAAAACAACTGGAAGAATGACATGTCAATGTTTTCTTAGACTAATTAGGAGAGACCTTCCGAGCAGCTCCTACACTACCCTTGTCAAACCCTCCGCTGTTTTCTCCGGCTCTGAACTGCCAAAGCAGCTGAGCGACCGCGCCGCCGTCTGTCTCTTTTTCTGTCAATAGGTAAAATCTGAGTCACTTCTGTTAAGGTCGGCAGACATCTTCCAAATTTGGTCAGTGCCAGTTGGTTATGAAGAATAAGCCGGGAGATTAAACTAAAAGCCAATCAGAAACGGCGAAATAGTTTGAATGAATACTGATTAAATAACTGTCAACTACAACCTCGGACAAAACGCGTCACAAAAAATCACCTTTTTTTCAGTCATTCTGGCAAAAAAACGGAAACCGTCACCAAATAAATGCCCGTTTTCCCCATCCCCCTCCCCCCTTATCCAATGTTGCTTAGGGTGACGCTAGAGTTAAATTGTTGGCGTTTGACCAAAACAACATGGATATGGGGTGGGAGGTGGTTTACTTATCTTCCTTCTCAGGGAGATGGTATTATGGCGTAAAAGTTAGAAAAAAAGATAGGCCCGTGTCAACAATTTTGTCCGAGGTTGTAGCTTTCATTTCCTTCCGTCAATTCATGAGATACCAATGCCATTATCCAGACTCCATTTGAGATAATATCGGTTTCATTTTTAATTCATTTAATTAATTTGTACTTTAGTGTACGTTCATTTGAAGTTTAATTTTTCAATTTCTTCCAGTTTTCGTCGAAATACTTTTTGTTCTTGTGTATGGAATACTGTTCTACCCACTTTTTGCCTGCCTTGCGACTGAATACAAGCTGGTTGGGTCATCCCTTGGATTCCTTTATGCTGCTATAAGGTTAGACAATGCCACGTGAAATAACGATAAGGTTGTAAATGAATCATGCCTGGTTACCGACTTATGTGTACTTTTGGTCCTTATGACTTGCTGTAGATGGTGAAGTATTGCGTTTCGACGTATGCAATTCGGTTGAACCGCTGTTTGCTGCTTTATCATGATTTTACGTTCTATTCAAAGTTAAAGTAAAAATATTTATATATGTTGGAAAAATTTGTCCTCGACTCAACCATTGAATCATCCTGGAGCTTGGAAATACTGTTGGGACGTAGACGGTTGATCAAGGCAATCCAGCTGCTCGAAAGGTTCTTTGAGAGTGTAAAAGATTTCTCAAGGTCAATGGAAAAGGTCTGGCCATCAATGACACTTTCAGAGTACGCTATTGTAGCGCTATTTCTGGCCTCATTGGTATTACAATTGGTGCTAAGTTCGGCGTACATAAGCCACGTAAAGATAGAACTCCCTTTAGATATAGCCTGTGATGAGATCTGCAAGTTCATTTAAAGAGGCTGAGTATGATACGAAGAGTTTTACAGATCGAAGAGGCTGGTGTGGCTTCGGCGGATAACAGCCTCCCAGTTCCGCATATTCTTCATATCATAGGGAAGCCGAATTCAATAAGTGTTCTTAATTCAAAATATTACTCTTAGTCCCTTACATCATATCCTTGTCGCAAGCATTCTTCAAAACATATACCTGTTTCCTTGATATCCATCGAGCAATGTTTTCGTTCATTTTTAGTCAATTATTCGGCTACAGTCGAACCCCGCTATTTCGAAGGAAGATCGAATTCCCTTGGATTTGCCCTTATGTTTTCAGTCATTTTCTATCAGCTATTTCGAACTCGGTTATTTCGAATTCCCCGCTATTTCGAACTCATCGTTCTTTCCCTACACCTTAAATCAACCCCGTTATTTCGAACTTGTCAAAAACAGAGTACGAACATAAGAGCACAGCTGGAAACGTATTGCATTTTATTTTAGCTCGTGTTACGTAATTAATGACTTAACAATGCTTGACTCACGTGCAGTGTCCCGCTAAGAAATTCCAGCTGTGTTATTCAATTGCAAAACCAAAACGCACTGTTAGTGAACTGTTCTTCCGGCAGAAATACTCATGTATGAACTCTGCTGTCTCTATTCTGATCATTCGACATTGTATTTTTATTTAATCAGTGCCTTTCTTCATACTGTACTGTATTTTATTTAAAAATGATTCATTCGAACTTTTTTCCATTTTCCTTGCGACTTCGAAATAGCGGGGTTCGACTGTATTTTCGTCTTGGCATAGCTACGAATAGCGTGCGTCACTAAAGTAATCTAATCCTGCCGTGATCCTTGTTCTGGACACCCAACTGACTCAACGGATTACGAGAAGTGCGTTTCCAATTTTTAACAAGCCAATCATGGCGCCTACTCAAATCCTGGTACACAACTGGGACCTGCAAGAACAAGGACTTCGGCGGTGGGTTGGAGACAGACTTAACCAGAGGTGTGATGCCGATACATGTACTCTTTTCCCGTTTTCTTGAGTTCTACACTAATGACTAAACAGCTACCACCATCGTACTGCTGTCTTGCTTGACGTTAATGATCATATACTGGCAATATGAATTTTTTTATTGATCTCAGAGTGACTGACGTCATCAATGATTGCTTATTACCCGCATCTTCCTAATAGTTTTAGCTGGTCATGACGTACTGGGATATCGTGCTTTTGGGGATATGTGACGCCGTTCAAAACGGCTGCTATCTTTCTATGCCATCTACTATTCCATCCTCGGTGTTTTGCACAAGTCATGTCACTGATGACGTAATACATCGTAACAGAAACAACTGAATATAAACAAAAGTTATTGATGCTTTCGATTTTTAAAGAGAAGGCGTAAAAGTGAAAAACACTTGTAACAGCAATATCGACTGCGCGTGCAGTCCTTTTGCTAAGTTTCGCAGCCATAGTGATAAAGGGCAAAAACAAAATAACACATTAAAACAAGTTTGTTTCTGAGCCCAAGCTAACCGTAGAACCTTAGCCAGCCAACCTTTGTTACTACAGTCCACTCCCGATATTTGGAACCTTCAAGGGAAATAGAAAAAAGTTCGAGTTATTGGGAGTTCGAGTTATCGAGGGCAAAAATTATATGAAAAATGATCTGAAGGGAAATGAAAATTAAGAGGGTTCGAGTTACCGGGAGTCGACTGTAGATCAGATATAATCCATGTTAACTTTCCGCTTTTGACTTCTATTTTTGTGTGTTTTTAGGTTCTGTTTCGATCTTGGAAATTTTCAATGCGAGAAGTTTATATATCTTGAGGTAAGAAAGTATATTAACTCTAATAACGGTTGTTCACCTTTGTGGATAGCGACGTTTCAACTACTTACTGTTGGTCTTTTTTAAGGCGAAGAGCCCGTGTTATTATGCTTGTCCCTTTTATCAATTTATCGGGGAATGTGATCGCCCGATCATCAATACTTGTCTTTACACTATAACGAGTTTTAGTATACACTAAAACAGTGGATAGTGTTTTTGGAGCGCTGGGATTGGTTACTCAAACTCGGGATATCCAGTGCTATTCACCTCAGAGCGACGCCAAAATCGCATAAGTTACGAGCAAAGTGGCCTTCCGGTTTGCTACAGGCCTACAGTAGCAAACCAAGAAATTTCACAAATAAGCGAAGAAGCTGTTCCCGATAATACGAAGAAGGCGATAAAATTTGGTTTGGCAATTTTTACAGGTAAAGCTTTAATTTGTCTAATTAACCGGAATATGTATCAATATTTCTTGCTACCCACATAGGGCAAATACCTTTTCTCGACTTAGCGGTTACCTGTTTGTCAGTCTGGATGTTTATTAGGAGTTGCCAGGCCCCGCCGCGTAGCACCCGATAAAGCGAAGTGAAAACATTGCGGCCTAACTTTGCTAATTTTGTGAGTGCTGGGAAAGTCTTTATCAGGGTCGTAACAAAGTATATTTTATCCCGCCTGATCCCCCGTTTCGACCTTAAATTTTGATACCTGATCCCAAAATTGCTGCAAATCTTGATCCCCTACCTCAAGAAAATTTTTTGATCCCTGGATTCAATCTGGGTTGGATTAGCTGCATATCATAAAAAAACTAGACGCCTCTAGTCGCGCATCACCATCTAACTATCCTTGTAGACTACTCATACTAGTGTGCGTAGCCTGAGATCTAGAAAGTGTACGATGCAATGATGAAGATTTGAAGCACCGAAGGCGGGCCAGCCTAGGAGAGTCAGTGGGCATGCTCCCCCAGAAGATTTTCTAATTTGGAGGCCTCGGAAATGCTATTTCCAGCATTTTTTACAGTGATTTGATACGCAGTAAAATGCAGTTAGTTAGTTATTGTTTACTTTACCCATCTCTAGAGTTGTCGGTAAGGTACATTCTTTACGGACAAAAAGGCGAGTGACACCGTCAGAATTGTGGAATAATAAAAAGGATAACTGAGTATTCACTAACACAAAGTCACCAATATAGCGCGAACGAGTTATCAGTCATCCCGATTTTCAAGGGAGAAAAATCCTTTTTCAGGAAATAATTTTTAGTTTGTTATCTTAGCTGTACGGGCGCATGTGAGTATATGGACGCTACGCTCCTCAGTAGCTCCTGCTCCAGCAAAATGAAATCTAGATGAGATCTCTTTGGGCAAAGATTGGCTTGACCAGCGATCAAAATAGCTACAGATTTCTAAAAGACCAGGATGATAAGAGAATCCCCATCGTAACAGGCGTATGAACAACAACGGCTTACAATGCTAGTATAAAATTGAAAAGGTGTAGCGACAAGAAATTTAAAAGGAATCTGGCTTCACAATTTTGCATCAATTTATTTCCAGATTTATGGGGGATTTTGTTTCCTGGATTCTGGACGATTCGGCTAGATCGGATTGCATACAGTTTAGTACCGGGTCCAAATGTTACAGCAAAAATACAACTGAATTTTAAAATGTTTGCAGGTCCCTCCGATTAAGGCGCATTTCAGAATTTTGTGGTCTTGGTTGTTATATTCGAGACAGGAACCGGATCCCTGATCTTCTTACAGTACTGCTGATCCCGATCCCACGGCTTGTGATCCAGATCCCGGCGCTGTGATCCCTGATCCCTTATACCTCGTTACGACCCTGCTTTATAAATTCCTTCTAAAAACAAAAGTAAATTGAGATAAACCTGTTATAGGGTTTCTTAGTGCTGACAGACTTGAATCTGCGAACTCGTTCTTTGACATTTGTTGTGTTGGTGTTGGCAGTTGAAGTAGAAAACCGGTCGCGAGTGTGAAGAAGATTTCGATTCTTTACTGTAAAGGCAAGTTACTCACTAGCTTGTCATGTCAGGTGTAAAGTTAAGTAAAGTATTTCGGGAAGTATTCATTAGGTAGGGGAAGTTTTAATGAGGAATCGAGGGGAATACAGTGTTATTTTATGTGTCTCGCAGCGCTGTCGTTTCAATTCTGTTGATCGCTGGTGATCACAAACACAATTGATGACATCTTGTCACAAAGAGATATTAAATTTATGTTCCAAACCGCCATCCAACAATCAACTGCAAAAACATTTTCAGTAGATAACCTTCCCAATGTAGTTCACTGCTTTTTTAATCCGAGCTTTTACTTGCCTCAAAAGGTGAATGAAGCTACGAGGTGACCAAATTGAATTATAATTTGCCCGAGGAGGGGAATGAAACAGCGAGTCGAATGAGGCTAATGAGACGAGGTCAATGAAACAGCTAAGCGAATTGCCTAAAAGATCGAATGAATACAACACAAAAGTATAGATGTCATTCACGTAGATGCTTTAATCAACATTATCATTTCACTGTAAATAAGCCTATATTAGTTTTGTATTTGACTTTTGTCAATAAGAACCCAACGTGATTTTGCATTCTATATACAATCTTAGGCCCTATTTACAAGGAGGGAGGTAACTCTGGTGCTAGGGTTCCCTAGCACTCGCACATTTCTTCTTTTTTTTCACGACGTGTTTACAAGGCAGGTAGGGTTACCCGGGGGGTAGGGTTACGTCAGTAGGGACCTGTTTACATGGCGGTGGGGGACCCCAGAGGTAGGTGAGGTAACCCTCCTCTCTATGTAGTCTTTCGTTTTAACCCTCGAAAGTACAAGGGGGGTGGATGCCACCCCCCAAGGTTTTTCTGAGTTTTTTTCCAAGAGGATAAAACATCAGCACCTGACGTTTTCACTGGCTGTTCGTTCATCCCTCGCGCAGATTTTGAGACAAGTTTAGTGACGGTCAGCTGCTATGGTTACGAGATATGACGTCATAAGTAGCAGGTGGTCAAGCCAATTTTGGGTGAAATTACATGTTTTTTCAACTTCTTTCAACAATAAAAGTAAATCTTGTGGCTAAAATCATGCAAAGTGTTTATTTATGTGTTATTTTTCTTGTAAAGCACATAAAATTACCATTTCTCGTGGTTTTAACCTGATTTCCAATTCTTGGTAAAATCCAAGATGGCCGCCAGGATGGCGACCATTGTTGGTGACGTCACAGGTCTCTCCCGGCACCACCACCCATAAAATATACTTCATCTTGTTAAGAAGATCAAAGGCTTTCTACTAAAGGTAAAATCGTTTCAAAATAATGCAACATAGAGTAAAAACCCGCAACTAAGAACCTACATTTTTAGGAGTTAGCCTAAACAGGTTCTTATATAAATGGTAGTTAACAGAATTTTAGTCTGTTTAGGTTCTTAAAATGGGTTCTTAATCATGGAGAAACTACATCAATTATTTAAAGATATTTTTATATTATCATTATTATTATTATTACTAGCTTTAATGCATAATGGTGTGCCGATCTACATATTGCTTAGTATGCTTTGTAAGTCTACATATCTTGCACTCATTTTTCTTTAAAAAAACATTTTTACAACAATGGCAATCTGCGTTTTTTGCTTCAAATATGATTCTTGTAATGCAGCTGTAATGTACTAGTATGATTTTAGAAAATAAGAACCTGTTTTAAATTTGTTAGGCTAAATAGGTTCTTGTTTATAGGGGGTATAAATGACCAATTTTAGGCTAACAGGTTCTTAATTTTTAGGTTCTTAGTTGCGGGATTTTACTGTATCGGGTAGCCTGGTCTGCTAGACCAGATGACTTTCTCAGCCGTGGGCAAATTTTGCCGTAACCTGCCTTGCCGAGGTCAGATTCGTGATACATCAAACTCGTGCAAAACTCACTTTGGCGGTGACTTCTAATCATTAAAGGTAACAATAGAAATCCACAGCACTGAAAGTTTTAGCAAGAGCAGCAAGTCAGACTAGAAGCGCATTAGTTGCCAGAACACATGGTTTGCCAGTATTTTTCTTGTTTACGTGCTTAGCTCAATAATCTTGAGACAGTGCACCCCGGCCTAAGATTGCATGTAAACGCGGATTGTTTTTTTTACCCCACCTAAGCGTGTTACCTCACTTACCTGGGGTCCCCCACCTCCATGTAAAGAGGTTCTTAAGCTGGTAAAGTTGACCGTAGTGATGGGGTAACCCTATGTTCCCGAAATAGCTAAACAAGTGCCTTCAAAAGTTTTATTTGTTGGCAAGAAAACGTGACGGTCGTTTTGAACATCTGCGCGCCAAAATTGTAATCGTCGGCAGCAATGAATATTTTAAACATCATCATTTTTGTGCTCAATTATCTCACTGTTTTAGTATATACTAAACAGCTATTATTCACCTCTGTGTCGGTGGTTAGTGGTGCATATTTACCTCGACCACCTCCACTTCAGTGAATAATTTTTCAATATTTATTTCATGTATATTACTGAATCCGCAGGCGAGCAAGATGA